ATGGTCTTAATGTAAATGAGAATCAGGCCCATCGAGATTTCTTAGTAACAGTTTTTAGTTTTGGGGAGGAGGGGTTCTCAGTGCCGTCCACTAGCTTAAAGAATTTGTGCTGAAGTTTTATATTACAAATATACTGTAATCTTTCTAATAATTTAGGGGGGGGGGTTGTCTAATGTAGCAAATGTGATCCATTTGCAGATCTTCTCAAAAACCATTTAATTTACACACCTGCACTCTTGTTACTGCGTATAGTTATTTTATACCCGGTACGGGCAGAAGAAACACGTTGAAATCATCATGCCTGTTGCTATTTTTTAAACGACTGTCCAACCTGAAGAGCCTGTCTAGCCCCTGCAATCAAGTTATTTTCCCTATTTTTTGGTACAAAACTTTATTTCATGCTTTCCCATAATCAAACAGTAGAAAATGTCAGTCACATTAATGTCATGTTTGCGATTTAATTTTAGTATGTAACAACTGAAAAACTGGTGTTTTTAAAGATTGTGTATAATATACAATATGAATAGAAAATGCTGTAGTGTATGATGGGAACATCTTATCCTTGTGAAGAAAGTTTCATGTTTGTAGTATATACATACATTGTATGTAGAAACGTGAATACTTTCCTGTTAAATTGAATGTTTTTCTGTGTTCATGGAAATGTCTCACTGAAAGAAGAGTACAATTATTTTCCTATTAATGTTCCATAAGTAGGTTACCTACATCTTAAAAGAAAAAATTAAAGTAAGAGCCTTACTTCACTGGTGCCAGTGTAGTTTTCTGTTGTAATCAAAATGCGTCTCTAAACATGCCCTAAACTCTCGGTGAACTTCAGACATCTATGCTTCATGCATATCCTATGAAGGAAAACCCCCAAAACCCTCAGTGGAAATATTCATACAAGTTTACACTCAAATTCTGGGACACAGGTGGAATAAATGGCATATTAGAAGCAGTGTCGTGGTCCCTCCTCTAAAATGTAGGCGTTTAGGGCTGTTGCCACAGTTATGCTCATGTTTGAATCCTATGTTGATAATGTAAGGATTACTTTAGCTGATCGATTTTTTTCTTTCCTTGGGATTGCCACCTAGTAATGGAATTTTTGGGTCAGGTGTCTTCAATTATTATTTTTCTTCCCTTATTCTTTATGGGACATCACAAATGGTGATGGATAGGATATGCTTGCCATTCTGAGGAAGTTGTCTGTTAAGCAAACCTACCTGGGTTCTCCTGGTATAACATGTGTTCCATTACACACCTGACTTATTCCTGCCTTACAGTGAAATTAAGTTATTCGTGAAAATAGAATAGTTGTTACCCAAGGTCAGGGAGAGTCAGTATGCAATGATTGTCACAGTCACCCCTCACTTTTGACCATTTCCCTTTTTGTGTGCTCCAGGAGTCATGTTAACATATATGCCTATGCTCATCATTGTTTTTTATTGGTTTCACTTTTAGCACAAATGCACATTCCAAGGTACACTTCTTTCATGCTTAAATTGCTCATTTTTTGTCCTTCCTTGTTTGCACACCTTACCTCTACAATGGGGCCATTGATGCTTTAATGCCAGCTTCTTTGCCTTAGATGGTAAAATAGTAGTCTAGGATCCATTTTGCAGGATTAAAATTGATAGAAAACAAAAAAGCTTAATGTATTTGGCAACCAGTTAAAATGGGGACACATCATTATACTGCCTTGCAGTTCTTCACTGAGAGAAATCGCAAAGACCACACTAAACCATCTAGCATAAAACTATGATATCCCCTGCTAAGTTAAGAAATATGAAGAATTTAAAGAATGAATATATTCAAGGCAGAATACACTGCCCCCACTTGCTGTAAAGTTATAGCTCTTTTTAGCTGGTAACAAACAGTGACCCAAAAAAGCAGTAATTTTGTCTAGAAACTCCCAAAAATGATGCTGCTTGCTCCCTGCTTTCAAATATTTTGGAAAAATCGGGGTGTTGAAGGCTATTTAAATAAATATTTTTTAACTTCTATTTTGTAAAAGAGCAAAACATCTTACGTCCCCCACAGTGACAAATCTGGATATTGCCCCTGAAACTTTGATAATGCTCCTTTAATTTGAAGCAAAGGAAAAAAGTTACTGTGCAAGTACCCATTACATGGCACTGGCCAGAGAAGTCCTTGAGCAGCGGAGATAAATGGAGAGCCTCTTGCAGCTACCACACAAGAGCACAGGCAGCATTTACTTGAGATCAAGTGAGGAAGCAGCCATTCAGAGCCATGCTGGCTACATGTGTTTGATTTTGTCTCCTCATTCTAAGGAGAGTAGTGGGTTGCTGTAGGAGAGATCTAGCCCCATTTTTTAGAGATGCTCCATTCAGCAATGGGGATTGGAGTCTGCAGTCAGGTAGTAATTCTGCAATCTCAGAATTGCGAAGCACAACAGATGGAATAAAATGCACAAAAAAAGGGTCTACGGTCTTTTCCTTGTTGCTTCTTTGTAATACAAAAAATAGGTGATAAGTGATTTACAGAAACCCAAAAAGGTAAAATCCCTGCTCCAGACAGCCTGCTATACAATCTAAGGGTATGTTTACATTGCCCACACCCTAGAAAAAGTGTGTTCTGAACTCAGGTTACTAACCTGCATCACCAAACTCTTCTTAAAATAGAAGAGAAGACATGGCAACTCAGGTGAGCAGCTCGAATTAAAACCTATAGGTGAGTCTGGGGGGAGAACTCAACCAGCTAACCAGAGTTAAAAACCAAGTTGCTGTGTCTTCATTCCTGTTTTAACCATTCTAACTGCTGGTAACTGGACAGCCGAGGCCCTGCCCTTGCCCCACCTCTTCCCCCCAAGGCCCCGCCCCCATTGCTCGCTCCTCTTCCCCGTCCCCTGTTGCTTGCTGGATCGTCTCAAGGAGCCTACCTGCAGGTAGGAGGCAGCTCTGGCTGAGCAGGGACTGGTATAGGGTAATGACCCAGCACCTCCCCCGGTAACCGGACTTTTGGTTCGTGTGCCATTTTGGGTTGCTTGTTCCCCTTTTTGACTGGATTTTCCGGTTGAAAACCAGGAATCTGGCAACCCCAAATGGCATCTGGACACAGAAGCCAAAAACCCAACTGTCCGGGTAAAGGCCGGATGGGTGGCAACCCTAAATTGAACCTGAGTTCACTAATATGCGTTACCTAACCTGAGTTAAGAATACACCTTTTTTTTGCAGAGTAGACCTGCCCTTAGACATGATGTAGTGATACTGTGACAGTCGCAGGAACAGTGTGAGGAAGAACAATTGTTACAGTAGTAAGATCACGTGTTGATTCTGTTTTAGATTGTGCATGTCTTGAAATTTTGTTGTGTAAGATGATATTCCAGCCTTTATGGCTGGAATACTTTAGAGTCGGGATGTGTCTACACTGCAGCGTAAGCCCAGGGTTAGTAGAACTTGAGTTAGCAGACCCTGGGTTTATTAAGCTAGGGCTTGAGCGCCTACACTAATTTGTAACCCCAGGATAGGAATTGTTGAGTCCTGGCTCACAGCCTGGCGCTCTTGTATCTACACTGTATTATGTAGACCTGAGTCCAGCTATGGATATCTGAGACTTTCTAGCGCCCTCCCAAAATGTGACTACTTTAGCACTTGTTCATGATGCATTGTGGGAAGACTCGACTGTCCATCAAACCTGACTGTCCAGAGGACAAAGAAAGGCTGTCTGTGGGGTTGTGGGATATTTTTGGCAGACTTCCAGCACACAAGTCCAGTGGGGGTGCATCTACACTGCACAGCAACAAGACTTGAACCCTGGCTCCCGGCTTGACTCAGGCTCGGATCCTCCACCCCCATGGAGTCCTGGGACTCTGGGTCCGAGCCCTGGGTTAGTGCAATTTGTGTGTAGATGTAGTGCCAGGCTTTGAGCCAGAGTTTGAGCTTTGGGCTTATATTGTAGTGTAGACTTACCATTAGTTTGAAAAAATAATTTCCAGAAACATCTTTAGTAGTGTGCTGCAAATTGGGATTAATACTTTTAATTATAGTTTTATCAATTCCCATGAAAGTTGAAGGGTGCCTTACATACAGTCTCTTCAATTAAATTTTCCCTCTCCCAACTTGAACGTAACTCTGGACTTCATAGGTTGTATATTGGTCTTTGGAGAAAGGGATGTGGGGCAGATCTTCTTTTAGGTGAGTCTCCAGTCATGCTGAACATTTATGTTTATGTATCAGTAGCTGCTTATTATGCACATCATGTGTAAATATATTTTTTTACATTTCTCAGATTTCTTCCAGTTGCATTATATGTGAAAAGTTTGCCATTATAATAATTAAAATGCTAGTTTGTAACTTTAGTTTCTGATCTTAGCTGGCAATCAGGAGTTACCAAAGCACTGTAACTATTGTATTTCAGTACATTCTGTAAATTTCCCCTAATGTCTATCAAAAGCCAGTCCTATATATTTTTATGAAAATACAGATGGATTGTGGCCTCGTGGTTACAGCATATGGCTTGATGTCAGGAGATCTGGATTTTGTATCTGGTTCTGTCACTGTCTGTCTTGTGTGTATCCCTGTTCTTTCAATCTGATCCCCGTGGCTAGACCCCCGCACCTGGGCCCATGTGGATACTCCCAATGAAGTTAGTGGGGCTCTTTGCAGACGCTGTGGTCCATCCACATGGATCAGATTGAAGGATTAGGCCCTAAACTTCAACAAGATACTTAGGCATCGCTGCCTCGGTTTCCCCATCTGTACAATTGTTAGTTTGGACTCTTAACCTCTTCTCTTGGAAAGCTCCAGTGCGTTTCCAACTTGATTTCTGACTGAAAGCTCTCCATATAGAACAGCAGGGAACTCCAGTTTCACATCTCAGCTATCTAAATAATTCTATTTACAGTCTAATTCCCTTTTACAGGCCAAAAAGCATTTCTGGTAACAGAAAAATGGCCAGTTTTGCAATGTCTCTGAAACAAAGATAATGAATTTTTTGTAGAAATTGATCATATCTGAGAAAACTGTGTTTTTTGTCTTCCATAGAGTTTACAGATGCTTCCTCAGCAACGGAAAGCCATAGCGAAATTTAAGGAACCAGCACATGCATTAGCATTTCAACAGAAATTCCACAGGTAAATATTTAGCCATTGATTCATTCTTTAAAAGCTTAAATCATGGTGGTCTATGACAGTTTCATATTCAAACATATATTTTACTACTGACCTTCAATAAAACCTTGTTTTCTACTCTCCATACACATAGTAGTATAAGTTTGTGTGCCGAATATACTAACTATTTCTTTAACATTTTACAGGCATATGATAGATCTATCCCACATTAACGTGGCTTTGATAGTTGAGTGAGCATAGCTGATAACGCTAATAGAAGCATACTGTGGAGCTACATAGGGAGAAGATACGAAGGCGAAACCATCAGGATCTGAAGTCTTTTCAGTTTACAGTCTTTCTTTAACTGCTCTGTAGAACTACAGAAAGTAACAAGATTTCCTCAAGATAAGCTGAACTTAAGAGGATCTAGCAAAGTGGAGTTTTGTGTTCAATTTCTTCACATTCGGTTGTAACCCCATGGAACTACAGATTTTTTTTCAAAGTGCTTACAATGCATGTAGACATTGTTCTTCAAGATCGTACTGTGTGATCACAGTGACTTGAGTTGAGAAAAAGAACACTTACATTGAAAAATTTTAAAAAGTTTCTTCATAGCAAAGAATATTTGATAATGGTTGCTCTTATCTTCAGTGCAGGGTATTTAAATGAGAACTCACTTCTCTAAACAAAACACATGTATGTTGTTCCTCTGAGAAGATAGAAGGTGCATTCTTATATAGATTAAGACGTGGCCTACTTGATTGATGATGATATTCTGAAAGGCTTTGGAGGTGACACTGGAAGGCTGTAGTTTCTGTTTTTGTAAATATGTTAGATCGGTTTTTGCATCTTCTAGTCTGACACGTTCCCTCTTTACTCCCTCCCCCCTCGCTTTGTGAAATGAAAACACGCTGTAGGAATAACATTGCTACATTTTCCCCCATAGTTTAAAACGAAGGATCTCGATCTTCACTTTTCAGTAGCATAATGGGGTAGTTTACTCCAAGTAGTAATTTATTACAGTTTAGATTGTTTTTTAAATGGGATTGCAAGATACGAGGAAAAAGTGAAATACTTAAGCTCATTTTAAAAATAGGGTGACACAGAGAAAGTGTTACATTCCCAATAGCATTTTTGTGCCACTATTGTAGAGTATGCTTCCTCTTAATCTTTGTCAATTAGTATTTTTCCTTGAAATTTAGTTTGTGACTAATGCTAAACCATTTAAAAAAAAACATCATAGTAAAGGCATTAGAATTGAGACATGGTGTTCCCCACAAAGATGGGATTATGAGGATGTTGTTACGCTGCGGGTGAAATTGGCAGTTCTAAAAATTATGTACAAATATTAAAGGAGATTGCATTTTATAGTTGGTAAAATCCATTATACTTCCTTTGGGTTAGAACCATCTGGATGGCATTTCCAAAGGAACACATTTTCAGTTACTTTTGGACAAATTTAGCAAAATGCCATTGTTTACATCCAATTGCAGGTTTTATGAAACATTTTCTTAGTTTTTATTTGGTGGGGTTTTCCTTCATTCTTTATTTTTAGGATATACTTTTGAGTGCTGACCTACTTTTTGAAGTGGGCACCTACGGAAACTTCATAGTCTTTGAGGATACTCAAGTAACAGAAACAGAAAAAACACTAACATGATGTAGTGAATCTGCAGGAGCTTGTGAATGGGGTCTAAACAAGTGCCAGAATATGGAAGAATGACAGTTTGAAGCAAATTCGTTGCAGTAAACCTTAGCTTGTATGTAAGATTTAGTGGTGACAGAGTTCACATAGGCTTTCTAATCGGCTTTCTCACAGCAGAGTTTTTTGTACTGATTTCCAATAAAGTAGAAGTTACTAAAAATTAAATAAATAGTGTCTAAAGTCTCCTGGGTAAAACTGCTTTCTTTTTCCACTGAAATAATAGGAGAATAATGTAGTGCATTAACATTATTACAATGGGAAAATGAAAATGTTTAAGGAATAGTGGTTTCTAAAGCCATTTGCATTTTAGCAAAGCGTGTATCTTAGCAGATCACAGTAAGATCATTAGAATATTCACATATGAAAGTGGGTTTTCTCACATTTCCATATCTCTAAATCCTAACATTTGGCACAGTGCAGCACAGTTGATGTTCTCTGCTCAGGACAGATCCAAGACTGGGAGTAGCAGATGTGTCACAGGTAGAAATTAGTTAGTGGGGCTGTATGTGAAGGCTAGCATGACACCTGACTTCCATGGTGGTTGGTTCTCACTAGTACTCTTCCCTCCTCACGTCCACCATTACTAAACCCCACAAATATTGTATTTTTTATTGTTAAAAAGGAATTTTACATCTTAGATGGGCCATTAAAGGTGGTGATATACCCACTGTTAAGGAACAGCTTCTCTGTGAGGGGAAGATTGGAAAAACATCCAGAAAATAAATGGATCCGAGTGTCTGCCCATGGAAGTATGGGCCAGATGTGACTACAAATAGCTCAGTAGGGGTAGTCCAGCAGTGCCCATGGAAGTATGGGCCGGATGTGACTACAAATAGCTCAGTAGGGGGAGTCCAGCAGTGGGCAAGTCTGCAGCTGATCAGCTGTTCTTGTAGAAGCAGATGATGATGTTGGAATATGAGCTTTTTTGAGGCCTAAAGAATAGGGGCCCTATCCAAAACCTGAAGAAGTCAGTAGAAAGTCTCATACTGATTTCAGTGGGTTTTGAATCAGTCCCTAGGAGAGCAACATTTTGCAACTACAGGATTAAGAATTTTTAGTCAGGGTTTTTTAAACTTTTCCCCACATAACCATCCTGTGGCATTGAAAACAAAGATATGAGCAATGTATCCTTAAACTTTCCAAATAGATTGGAGTGATGTAAGCATTGTTTAATAATTGTATACATCCCTCTTTATAGACTTTTACTTTCGATTACTGCTTGTGCATAGATAGAGTGCAGACATATTCAATAGTGACTATAGCTGCTTATCACAGTAGCTGGGTATCATATGGGAACTGTGAGTATGTTCTGTATGTATGTATGTCTATATGGATACGATTATGTACATACATACGTCCTGTATATTACAACTCTTTTTAACAGGATGATCTTCAAAAAAGTACAGTAGTAACAACAACCATTAGGTTTAGGCATGCATTAAAAATGTTTCAGTAAAACATATCTTCAGTAATAAACTCCTAACTTAAAACTGGATTTACTGGCAATGACCGATTTGAACCATAGCATCACAGTTTGGTTCCATTTGTTGTGGCTCCTCCCACAAAAGCAAAGGAAGTAGAGGTAAAATTAGAAAACTGTTATTTCCATGTTCTCTTACAGCACTTCGTTAAATCTGGCCATCTTAAGTTAATTTTCTTGGAAGATCTGTTGCAACCATTATCTTGTTCTTTCTTTATCATGCATTTAAAATAAGATGCAGAATGCAAAAATTGCATTTAATATACAATGTAAATATGGAACTTTTAAAATTAAAAGATGTTACTCAGAGTGCTTACAATTCAACCACATCTTAGCTACTTGTTAGTTTTTTTGTGTTGTCTTATCTAAGTTTAATGGACATAGTTCCATAAATGTTGATGTGTGTTTGTGTATCTCTTCAATTTTTTATAAAGATGCTAGTAAGTCAATACATATATCCTGATCTGTGTATTATTTGTTCACAAGTTTCAGAGAAACTTAAATTTAGTAATGCTATTTTAAAAGGTAAATATCGTAGGTGATTATGTGGAGCCAAATATATATTTTTTTCTTTTTCAGTTATCTTGTTTTGGTCTTGTGGCACTTCTAAGTTCATTTTACTCTATCATCACATCTTGGCTACTAGATTGATCTGGCCATATTATGTGTGAAATTATAGAAGAATGGTCTTAATTTCTTTAAGAGGCCTTTGTCCTTAAAGGTTAAACGGATTATACATTACACTAGATCTTCACATTCTCATGTCGGACCAAGGTTTGGGTTTCTGGAAGGGTTCTTTATGTTGTATAAGTACAAAGAGGTCGGTCTAAAGATATTGTTCTCAAAGATTGGGAGCTTGGGGTTATTTTAGTTTTTGTTGTTCAACACGTAATTCAAGTTGGTCATGTTAACATTTTATTCTTTTCACAATCTCCGAGAGCAGGGTGGCACGTTGTGTATGATGAAAAGAAACCATTAAACAGAATTGAGGAGCTTGGTTAAAATCCTATCGATAGGGAGAGGCAGAAGTGCAGACCTATAGAATCTTCATAAATACAGGAATTGCTACAAAATGTTTTATAAATTATAGTGACCGATTTTTTTAATTTAGCAGGCTGATGTGGGCCAAGAATGACTGATTCATCTCCAATGTAACTGGACAAAAGATTATGATGATATTTATAAATATTGAAGTCAAATCTACAGAATATAAGACAAAAATACATCTTCAGACGAATAGGTTTAATTTCCACTTGGGGATTGGTTCTGAAAACTCACTTTTAATTTTCACAGCCCTGCTTAAGGCCCTTTTAGTAAGTAAACTACTAGATCTTCATTGGGCATCTTAATTCCTTTCATAGTTGGATTCCATTGCAAAGATTTAGTCTGAAGAACTTTTACAAAAGTGTAGGTATTCTCAGCATGCCTGTGTATTACTACATTTATTACCTTACACGTATAATAAATACATTATAGCAACTAATTTTGACTACTTTGGGGAATAAATAAGAGCATTTTATTTGGTCCTGAATTTTTTTTTTGAATGTTTATACCATAAAGTATCTTCAATCTGGTCAGTTTTAAAAGTTTTGCCCCTTCTAAGACGATGCTGTGGGCACTTCCTAGAATTAGCAGAAGTAGCTGTGGGTGTTGCCTTTATCCATAGTTTGACTTTTCTGGATATGTCCTAGATTTGTGCTCCACTATACTCCTATAGATGTTGTATTGTCCTCCCCATTAGCACTGCAATATTCTATGTATGTTTCTACCCCAAGGATATGCTTCTGGCTTCACATACTCACTGTTAGACAGGATTTTTAGTTTTGGTCCTCTAGGTGTAACTTTTTTCTTTTTAGCAATTTTTGGTACTTTGATTTTTCTAGCAGCAGTGTTGGATGAAAAATAAAAGTGGGGGAAAGAGGCACTAGACAGATAAAGAAAGTCCACTAGATTATGAGAGGAATAAATCATTAGGGTAATTTAAGGCTCTTGTTTCAATGTTACCTTTAAACTGGCTTTAATTCTGAAATGTTACTTAACACCATTCTTTAAATATGAATCAATTCAACAGTTTTAATACTAGAAGTATTTTATCTTAAGTTAGTATTAAATCCTAAGGATTTTATGTAAGGTTTTTTGTAACCTAGTTAATTTTATCATAAAAATTGCCTACATTTTAACTTCTTATCCACATGAGCGCAAGGTCTTGTGTACAAAAACACTGATTCATATTGGATCCTCACGTATACCATCTTCTGGTATAATATGGTTGGGAAGGATCATTTGTTTTATTCTTTAGCACTACCTTTTGCAGGGTTGTTGTTTTTTTTTTAAATCTTCAGTTTCCATTTCTGTGCTTATTTTGGTGGGAAGTACATTGTCTTTTGCACTGTGTAAAACTTAATGGGAAGGCTAATTTCACTGGGTCTGTAAGCACTTGCATTGCTTTCTCACTTCTCAAGTTGGACACTTTATTTTTCTAACTCTAAATGGAAAGGGGTCATTGTACCTATTTAATCATTTCTCAACAGGTTTACATCAAGGATTTTTAATTTAACAGCATCCCAGTTAATTGAGCTTACACTATTTAAAAATTTATTACAGATTAAATGTAGGGCTTTTAAAAAAACAGCCCCATGTACAGTTACATAAAATATATTATGGCTGAAATAGTATCTGTGATTATATGGAAAATCACTGTTAAATGAAGGATTTTACTGCTATTTTTACCTTTTTTTAAAAAATGCATTTCATAGTTCAGGCTTTTCATTGTGCATAGTAATTTTTCTAGTGTCTGACAGGTTTACTTTGCATAAACAGAAATAAAACTACTTCTTTTCAATAATGAAAATTTTTTGCAGGACTACTTTGCAGGAGATGGGAGCTTTTCAGTAATTTTAACTTTCAAATTAATACACATTTTCATTTACAGATTCAGCAAAGACAAGACTAATGAATTTATTTACAGTTGATCATCTGTCTCTAATGGACCATATAATTCATACTCTTAAGAAGATACACCATTAAAACAAGTCATAACACTTTATTTTTTTACAAAGTTATCCCTAGTCACCTTGGTTCTCCTCACCCTTTCTCTGTCCCCTTCCTATTTCCCCTCACTCCTAGTTCACCTGCAAGAATGTTAATTCTTTACTGCTGTCTTTTCCTTGATGTTCTTCTCATCTCTGTCCAAAACTTTCTCTTTCTGCCTGTCTGACAGTTGTAGTACCCATCTCTCAGAATCATTCTCTGCTCCGGTTCCCTACTACAATGTTTTGGTCGCCTGTATTGAAAGTAAATTATACTGCTGCGTCTTTCCTACAGATGTTAGTTGTAAATGTTTGAACATAAACAGCTGCCACCCAAAGGAGAGGTCATTTTTTAGAGGTTTCACACTTTAGGATGTGTTGAACATTCCAAAGATGGGGAGAAAATATTACTTAACCATTTTGTTTCACAGCTCTTTTCCACTTAGGGGAGTGACAGCCATTTCCAGATATGCTCTAGCTTCTGTGGCATACCAGGAGATTTAAGACTAATTACTAACTTTTTTCCTACCCTTTACTTTTGCAGGAGTTCTATTCTTGAATTCAGTGATAGTAATAGTACTTTATCATTGCCACTTAGAAGTAATGAGCACCTGTCAACACAATTCTACCTCTATTACTATTACTGAATGTGATCCTTCCTAACCTATAAACTCTTAAGTGCTGGATATTGGGTATATTGAAACTCTAATTTAAAATGTACTGTTCTAATCTGGATTATGAAGCTTGTGTTTATTAGGAGTTCAGAATATAAATTCAAGAGGCGACTGTATCATGATACTGACTCCACTGTGGGTTCATCTGCTTCATGTTTTCTACTGCATCCTCTACACACATTATTTTACTTCTCATTTCTTAAGTGTTATATGCCTGATTATACCAAGTCCTTCCATTTGCATTAGATACCGTTCCGTGGTATATGCTAGGTGTGAATGTAAAAATGAAAACACAGAAATAATGTACAAGTTCCTTGTATGTGATTCCATACTTCAAATGTCAGAATGTATTTAAGTGTATTTATTGTAACTAAATGGTGTCAATAAAATATTTTTTCCTTTTCTTTGTAGCATATTGCCTTTGTATCTTGTTCGTATGCACCACATGAACGTCACATTTGTCACTAATTACAAATATCGTGTATCATTATTATTTCTTGGTAGCACCCACAGATGACCAATCACACGGCAGGGTCTCTTTTTCTAGGCACTGCAAATGAGTAGAACAAAAAGACAATCCATAACCCAGAGAGAGGCTGCAATTTAGTTTATTTTTTTAAGACCCCACAGGTGAATAAGCAGACAAAAGGGGATGGGGGCAGGTAACAGTAAAGATATGGCTTTTTGCATAAGTTAGTAATCTAAATGTCAAACAGTTATATATTAAATTAAATTATAAATTAATGGAGATATCCTATCTCCTAGAACTGGAAGGAACCTTGAAAGGTCATTTAGTCCAGCCCCCTTGCAGGCCCAAGTACTGATTTTGCCCCAGATCCTTAAGTGGCCCCCTCAAGGATTAAACTCACAACCCTGGGTTTAGCAGGCCAATGCTCAAACTACTGAGCTATCCCACCCCCACTGAGGGCTAGGCAAGTATTCCTTATTAACCTGAATATAGCTCTGTTGATTTCAGTAGGGCTATTCATGAGAATGAGGACGTACTCATGAAGGTTGCATGATTGGGCCCTATTGCATCAAGGCCACATGCCCAAAGTTAAGTGCTAGCCCTTTTAAGAAAGCTCACATCTAAATGTGTGTTTAGATCTTTTGAACTGTGTTGCTGCTAAGGGAATTTTGCATCTGTGTGGCTGAATATCTACCCTTCAAACTAAACAAACTTCTTCAGACGGTTGGCTGATCACATGGTGCTGGTGCTCCTTATCTCCAAATGTTACATTACATTAATAGACAGCTAAACATACATTTACATATCTTCTCTATCTTTCCATGTAAGCTCTCGTTGCAGTTATCACAGGAAAATTATAGCTGCAAGTGGGAAGAGAGGTTGCCAGTAATCGAGAATGGGAGAAAGGAGGATCCATGAGAATCTTTCTGGTAGGATGTGATCCACACTATGAAAAATTTTGCGACTCCTTAGGAGAGTGAATATTTCAGGTTTTCCTGTTTCTTGTCCTACATTCCACCAATTGAGTACTATTCGAGTGACCTCTTTTTGTGCAGTTCCCTGGCCAGAATGTACTACTTCCATGAATGTGTGTGGTGGGGGTATACAGGCTTTATCAGCATGAGTTTGGGGGTCACATGTCTCAGAACCATCTAAATCCCAAGTAAGTTATGCAGTTGATCCCAAATGAATGTTGATGAAACGTTTACACTATTCCACACCGTTCCATAGTCTGCATGGTACAGAAACTGTTTTAACAAATAGTTTTAGGGAATTTTTAAAATGTTCTTGGGACTATTTCATGATCCTGTCTATCTGTAAAACCAGGCGCCTTAGTTACCATGAATCCAAATATGCAGGGCTTGGAGGGCATGACATTAAAATTGTAAGAGCTAGAGAACCTGTTACTTCCCTGACTCTGAACCTTGCCTGTCCTCAGCCTCTGGCATATTGAACTTTGAAAGGGTTTGCAATGTTAGAATAAGTCCCAGATAGATGGGTTAAGCCTCATCTATATGTAAAACTATTTCCTGTATAGCTACACTAGCATAACTGTCCTCGTATAGACAGTTTATGCCAGCAAAAAAGTGTTTCTGCCAGCATAGCTTATACTGGGTTAGCGAGTGAAATAAGCTATACTGGCAAAAAGTACTTTTTTACACCCCTCTCCCCCACATACAGTTGTATCTACATTAGGGCTTTTGCAGGAATAGCCATGTGTCTGTCAAACTAACCAGAAACTCAAACCCATAACTGACATACCAGTAGCTATGCCAGCATAACCTATAAGTGTAGACCTGGCCTAGAGGGCAGGTGATGCAGTCATAGGCAAGTGCTAAGTTTCCAACTTAAGTAAGGTACATTTTCCTCTATTAAGGAGTGCTACATAGGAATTACCATACTACATAAAAATATAAGAATGGCCAGACTAGGTCAGACCAATGGTCCATCTAGCCCAATATCCTGTCTTCTGACAATGGCCGGTACCAGGTGCTTCAGAAGGAATGAACGGAACGGGCAATCATTGAGCGATCCAGCCTTTGTCAACCACTCTCTGCTTCTGACACAGAGGCTAGGACACCTAGAGCAGTGGGTCTCAAACTTTTGCATTGCTGACCCCTTTCACACAGCAAGCCTCTGAGTGCGACCCCTCCCTTATAAATTCAAATTTAACACTATTATAAATGCTGGAGCAGAAGCAGTATTTAGGGTCAGAGGCTGACAGCTGGTGACCACCCATGTAATAACCTCATGACCCACAGTTTGAGAACCCCTGACCTAGAGCATGGTGTTGTATCCCTGCACTTCTTGGCTAATAGCCATATGATGGACCTATCCTCCATTCACTTATCTAATTCTTTTTTGAACACTTATAATTTTGGCCTTCTCAACATCCTCTGGCAATGAGTTCCACAGATTGACTATGCATCATGTAAAAAACTACTTACTCATGTTTGTTTTAAACCTGCTGCCTATTAATTTCATTGGGTGACCCCTGATTCTTTTGTTATATGAAGGAGTAAATAACACTTCCTTATTCACTTTCTCCACACCAGTCATAATTTTATAGCCCTCTATCATATCTCTTCTTAGTTGCCTCTTTTCTAAGATGAAAAATCAATCTTTTTAATCTCTCCTCATACAGAAGCTGTTCCATACCCCTAATCATTTTTGTTGCCCTTTACCAATTCTAATATATCTTTTTGAGATGGCATGACTGGAACTGCACACAGTATTCAAGGTGTGGACATACCTTAGATCAGATCCAAGGCCCATGTAGTCTAGTCTCCTGCTTCCAACAGTGCCCAGTTTCAGAGGAAGAGAGGAAGAACACCACAATAGGCAGATTTATGGTAATCGGCCTCTCACATTAGGTCTCATCCTGATCTCTAATAGATCGGCTTAAACCCTGAAGCATGAGATATAATATCCCTTGCAAAATGTGTTGTCATTAATTATGATTATTCTCTATATTCTTGCTATCCACATAAGTGGCCAATTCCCTTGATTTGCTAAATTCTTGGCTTCAACTTCCGGTGGCAATGGGTTTCACAGTCTAGTTACACATTTTTTAAAAAATATTTCATTTTATCAGTTTGGAGCATATATTTTGAAACACCAGAGCTTTGCATGACACTTTACAGGTAGATTAAAATAAATATGCTCTCTATGACAAATGTATTCCATTTTCTTGTGCAACTTTATGGCTGTCCCCTCCATTTAAGATGTGCATCTATGTACACACACTTTGTTGTAGCCCATCTGGTAGGTAGAGGCATATGTTGGGGGCCTTGCAGGTCAGTTTTCCATTGGAGGAGAAATCACTGATGCGGTGTCTGGATATTGTCTAAAGTGTAACATCATTTCAGATCATCTACGCCAGCCCTGAAACAGAGATGGCAATCCCCTCTTTCAGGAATCTGAGCCCATGCCAGTACCCGATTCCCAGGAGCTCCACCAGCTTTTCTGCCATCCTAGGTGGCGGAAGGTCCCGCCCCGAAATGCTGCCCCCCACAGAGGCGGTGGAAGGTCCTGCGGCCAAAATACCACCGCGGTCGCCGCCCCCCAAATTGTAGCGCCCTAGGTGACCACCAGCCCTGCCGATTCCCAGGAAGCAACTCTGCCCCCAGAATTCACTGGAAAAATCCCTTCTTGTTTGCCACAGCTCCTCCAGAAGGAAACCACATCACAAAATATAAGCATTTCTTCAACGCAGCTGCTTCAGTGCTGGCATGCTAAGAAAATGGTAAAACTATGCACCAGCTGGTCTCTCCTGCCATCACATTGTAGAAAGTGCACTGGTGGCACTAACCAGAAATGCAAGTTCAGCACGTGTCCCCAGTGGATTCGTGATACTTGTTTGGTGACATCCATGCCAACACAGAGGGCCTACACACCATCTGCACTAAAGAGTAGACTTGGTCGAAAGGTTGTTACCATTTTTAAATTCAGAAGCATTGCGTTCTGATAAAACAAAACATTGACAAACTTTTTATTTTTCTGTTTCTTTCATTAAAAGCGAATGGAAAATTAAAGCAAAAAACATCCCGCAGCTCTACTTAGTGCCACTTCAGTCCTTCCTGCGCTATGCTGTAGTCCAGGGGTTCTCAAACTGGGGGTTGGGACCCCTCAGGGCATGTCAATGTTATTACATGGGGGGTTGTGAGCTGTCAGCCTCCACCCCAACCCTTGCTTTGCCTCCAGCATTTATAATGGTGTTAAATATAGAAAAAAGTGATTTTAATTTATAAGGGGGGGGGTCACACTCAGAGGCTTGCTATGTGAAAGGGGTCACCAGTACAAACGTTTGAGAACCACTGTTGTAGGTCTTCCATGGTACAGAGGACCTGGTGGATCACCTCTGTTCTGGAATGAATTTCAGCCCCTTTGTCCCAAATTCATTATCTCCCTGGCCTAATCCTTTGTTTGCTCTATGCCACGTCCCATCATGGGCTGTTGTCACTTTTGCTGGTCTTTACCCTAGAATAGGAGCTCCTTAGGGCAGGGATCTTATGTGAAATCTTGGCTTCATTGAAGTCAATGGGAGTTTTGCTATTGACTTCAATGGAGCCAGGATTTCATCCTATGTCTTGTTTTTAAATCTGCCTAAAAAGTGTCATGCGCAATTACAGTGCTGTGCAAATATATATATTAATTTTGCCTTTAGGTGCTGGACATCTCAGCAGAACTCAGTAAAGAGCATCCTAGCACTTTCCTTAGACCTAATGCCAGATTAGAATTTTGAGCCTAAAAAAAGGCAGTGAAAACTGAATCATAGCTCAGCTGAATGAGAGGATAAGTCCTTTATATGAACTCTGATGCAGAGATTGCAAAGAGGCCAGTTCATGGCAAAGTGAAGCTTGACTTCTGGTTCCTAACACTCAACCTTCCTGGTTGCAAGAGGTTTGTTTTCATTCCCTGTAGCCAGAAAAATG